ATTTTTTCACATAGACACTCACCACACTCGATCTCCAATACAATCAAATCGGAGCTGTCGGAGCACAACATCTAGCTGATGCATTACAAAACAACATTGTGACCCTTGTTCTCTCTTCATCTCTCTCGTTTTACCATCGCAACTTTTTCACACAGACACTCATCACACTAAATCTCTCTCAGAACCAAATTGGAGACAAAGAAGTACAATATCTCGCTCTTGCATTACAAAACAACAAGGTGACCCTTATTCTCTCTTGATCTCTCTCATTTTACCATCGCCACTTTTCCACAGACACTCACCACACTAAATCTCGAAGACAATCAAATCGGAGACGAAGGAGCACAATATCTGGCTGATGCATTAGCAAACAACACGGTTACCCTCATTCTCTCTTCATTTCTCTCATTTTACCATCGCCACTTGTTCACACAGACACTTACCACACTAGATCTCGAAGACAATCAAATCGGAACTGTCGGAGCACAACATCTGGCTGATGCATTACGAAATAACACGGTGATCCTTATTCTCTCTTCGTCTCTCTCATTTTACCATCGCAACTTTTTCACACAGACACTCACCACACTACATCTCGGAAGCAATCGAGTCGAAGACAAAGGAGCACAACATCTAGCTGATGCATTACAAAACAACACAGTGACCCTGATTCTCTCTTCATCTCGATAATTTTACCATCGCCACTTTTTCACACAGACACTCACCACACTATATCTCGAAAACAATGGAATCAGAGACGAAGGAGTGCAGCATCTAGCTGATGCATTACGAAGCAACACGGTGACTTTGATTCTCTCTTCATCTGTCTCACTTTACGATTGCCATTTTTTCACACAGACACTCACCATACTCGATCTTCAATACAATGAAACCGGAGACGAAGGAGCCCAACACCTGGCTGATGCATTACAAAACAACACGGTTAGTCTCATTCTGTCTTCATCTCCCTCATTTTACCATCGCAACTTTTTCACACAGACACTCACCACACTATATCTCTACGGCACTCAAATCGGTTGGGAACTTGCAGCTCGTTTGGGCGAATTGATAAAACCGAATAATCAAGGAATAAGACAGTGAACGTTGGTTTCAAAGATGGTTTTACTGGAGAATTAAAATTTTGAATTGAATTTGTGATTTAATTTTTTTTTAATTTGAAAATGACAATAAAGTGTTTTATTTTTGAATTTTGGTATGTTCGAGTTTTTTGAAAATTGATAGGTGAAAGGCGTGGAAATTGTTTTCTTGTTCGAATTTTGCTACGTGGATAAGTGCATTTAAAAGAGATAGAGTACTTTTCAATCCCTGATGATTATTGTATGTGAGTGAAAATTTCTTTTCGGGATATCAGTAGTATTTAAAAGTTTCGGTGATATTTTGTTTTTGTAAATTTAAAAAATGAATGATATGAATATTTAATAAAAATTCGGATTTGTCTATTATTACAAGGTTAACTTTTCAGCTGAAGATATTCATGGGTTCCTTGGAATCTGTTGAATTACTTTTTCAAAGTGCATCTGGTATCATGATTGCAAGTTTCGATTTATCGAGAAGAGAATCTGTGTGGTTTCTTTATAGATTTCGATTACTAAACTGATAATTTCTCTTATACATTAATTAACAAACTCTTACTTATTTCGGAAAAAGTGATTGACTTAACTGTTTATAACTATTTTCATTGCAAATAATAACGTTGTTCATACAATCCGTCATGTCTCATAGACGTTAAACAATGGGAAGTAAAAGAAAAATGTTTCAAAAAATGTTATATCGTACCTTACGAATAAATGTCATGAAACGATATTCACTTCTTTAGTTGATTCTTTGTTCTCAATAAGTGCATAATCTTTTCATATTGAAGTGAAGATTTTTTTTTTCTTATTTTAAATCATTATTTAACATATGTTTTCTATTTCGTTGTCTACATTGCGGTTATATCTTACTTATGCTTACATATCATTAATGAGTCAGTAATTACTTCTATCTATATGAATTGTGAGTGCTCTGTATTTGTTTCTTTTATATGTCAATTAACACAACATCCTCTACGAAATATCTCAAGATCACAGCTATTCTTTTAATTTAGAACTAGGCAACACATCTAAATCCAATTCAATAAATGAGTTTACTTGAACCAATTGAAAATAACTTTCGCAGAAATTCTGAGTTTCATTGTATCAAGTTTTAAGTCATATACAAGTCGACTGAAATTGAATTGTACAAATACTTCGACAAATCTATGAACTCAAGGATATTAAAAAGAAGAGGATGTAGGGTGTGGATGTGTGGGTGCGCGTATGAGTGTAGGCTGAATTAAGAGCAACACACCCAGCAGAACATAGCGATATATTCACAATCCGAAAATCTACAGTTCAAACAAATTCAAAGAATTCAAGTAATTCTATCCAACTTAGGGAAGTCAAGGTATATGCACAACGTAAAACACCTATTCGTTAATATTAGCAGGAACAAAAAGAACTCAACATATTAGTAATATGTAAAGGATATTTGGTCTTTCCACTGGATTAGCATAAGGATGACATTTGAATCGGTACCAGTTAGATAGTACCGTTTTTTTATGAAAAGTTACTCGCCCTGGCAGACACTTGATGTAGCATGAACAAAAAGCTGTCGTCTTTATTCTCATACTCTGATTTTGTTGAATTCCTTATCCTCATTGGGCTACCTTGAATTATTTCTAATTTTCTTGTATGGTTAATTTATGGATCTTGAATATCGTTGTCCAATCGTGTCTATATCACTACAAACACAACATCATATAATTTTCACACATCTTCCAGGCATAATCGTTTCTTGCAAAAATGTTCGATTGTTTCTATCATCTTCGACTTGAAAAATATGCTTTTCCAGAATAAAAAGCGGCAAATCTTTTTTGTTTTTTACTCTGGTTATGTTTTTCTGATCGCGCATTCTAGAATTCTCGAGCATGTGAAGCTAGAGTGCTCGTGTTGTTGAATTAGGATTTTTTATTATTATGCAGAAATACACTTCTATAAATAGATATATCCTTTTTCTTCGTACAAAAAGTAAGAATTTTAAAAAAAAGTCTGACATGCTCTTTCAAATGAAAAAGGTTGTCAGCGCTGTTCCGTTAGAGCTAAAATGTGACAATAACATGTGTTCCTTATCCTCATTATATTAGTACGTTAAGTGAAAAGTCTCTAACAAACTATAGTTCAGCGCCTTTTTTCCATTGCTAAGAAACCCTGTGAGTTACTCTCGGCTGCTATGGAAACGTACGCGAGTCTTGCTATGACGAGGTGACGAAGTCGTAAAACCTCGACTTAAAAATTACACTCGATTTTTCAGGCAAACAGACATAGAATAATAGCAAAATTGCCAATGAAGAATACACTGTTTCTAATAATACTCTATATTTTCTTCTCATCTATTGAATAATGAAAGACATGCATAATATCTAATTAAATTAACAAAAAGAAACTTTTTATATATTATTTACTTTTGTTTAATTTACCGTGTATAATTAGTTAAATTTGTATCAAAATTATTCCATGTAAAGAACAAAACATTGAGTGCATTTGATGGACTCATTATTATTAACGAAGAGAGATAGATGATTGAGAAAAATAAGTTTTTTCTTATGAATATGGAGCTGATTTAAATTGACATTGCCATCGATTAATAGTTAACAATGAGCTAGGACTTGTTAGTGTTTGTGAAGGATTTATCATATGAATAAAGTTAGAACTGTATATTGTTGATAGATCATTCTTTCGTTTAAAGAAATACTTTTGAATATGTGTGGAAGAGCTACTGGTTGTTAATTGACGAGAACAACAAGGTAAACGACATGGTATTGATACTGTTTATTTTTTTTTAGTTGCGGATGAATGATTATTATTTAGTTTTTATAAGAATGGCATGATGTTTGAAGAAGACAAATTTGTATTAAATATAAGAAGGATTATTATTTGATGACGAATGACATGATGAAATCAATTTTGGTTGAGTAACGTAATGATTAGAAAATAATTCTTTAGGTTTTTCATACAATGATGACGATAATGAAGATCATATGGCTTTTTATTGATGTTAAACAAAAAAGAGGGGAAGATCGATAAGAATTTGCAATTTTTTTTAGATAATATACTTATGGTATACTAAAAGTAGTGGCAGAAGCACTAGACTAGATTATAGAAGGCTGGAGAAAGTTTTTTCTACATATATAGCGTTAGTCCAAACAGTGCTGTAGCGATGTGCAACACAACATCTTTATAGCCAGTCGCATACGCATTCGACCTTCATGCTTTGCTTTTTTTCGCTGAAACAAAATCTGTACTTTGTATCATAGTGATTTAGAGAACGGCTAGTCGCTAGCAACTCGTTCGAACTTTTGTTAGAGAGATCGACGTCTCCAGATAATAAAAATATTTTTGAATCGTCCGTAAGTTTCGCAATCAGCTGTTGTAATTTGAGATAATTTTGCACAGCATTTCCAAGTCGAGTGAAACTCGAATGCCGTTTAGTTTCATCTAGCTTTTCAATGATCATAAACTAATTAACAATTCAATCATCAGTGAGCTGTACACGTTACGAAAATTTTTCAAGTGAAGAGTATCTTATATTTGGTTACGTCATTTAATCAACTGGATGCCATTGACAAAGTAATGCTTTTTTGTTCTCTTTCAAGGATTCTTTATTAGAAATTTTTGTGTTTGCAGTATGTTCTTGAACTTTCACAGCGACAGAATGTACTTTGCGTATTATCTGATTGTTAGAAGCAACATGCTGAATAATATCCGATGATAATACAATATCAATTTCAGTACTATCAACCCTAGTATATGCTCATGCTAGTGAAAAAGGAATAGATAGATTCGTATATTTTATTATGTTGGCATTTTATTTAATTTTATTAGTTTTTCATTGGAAAAAAGGAAGTAAGCAAATATTGCATTGATTTTTCGATGGTCTAGTCATCGGACTCCGGTGAATCGTTAATGGTGGTACTTTTCTAAAAACAAAGGAAAAAAACCGTCATAAATCAATCATCCATTTAAAGCAATAGCATACGATCCCTGAGCAAAACTCGCCCTAACTTAGAAATCATAGGTATCTACGTAAACAGGAAAGAATTGATCGATCGTACTTTTTACTTGAACACAAGACCAAATTCCTTTGGCAATGTGTCCAGGTTGGCATGCACATGTACCATTGAGACATCTTGCGTTGTTAACAAAACCATTACAATTGCTATTTGACTCGCATCTATAACCTAGCACACTATCGTAATGAATCCTTTTAGTGGTAGGTGTAGGTGGCATTGGTATAGGAGTATTATCAGGAATAGGGTCAACTGGAATAGCAGTAGCTGTGGCAATTATTAGCAATAAAATGAACCACATATTGAAATCTATAAGCACAAGAGTATGCATTAGTATCTATTTGAAAAAACAACATACTAATTCCAATTCTCCTCAGTTAAAAAGTTAAATGATTCTCTTGCTTTTTTTTACGAAGAAATATATTATGAGACTATTTCATATAAATCAATTTCATCCATTTCTCTAATCATTGGAGTAGACAAACCATCAGAATTTTTGAGTAAAGTGTCTGTCTAATTCTCTTAAGATTTTAAGAAGTTTCTTGACTACACATTTCTTCTAACGAGAGAACATATTCAACTGTAATTCTCTGATTTTGTTCATAAGTAGAACTCAGCAAGGCTAGAAAAAAAACGTCTAAAAGGATTTTTCTAGTCTTGTTGAGTTCTACTTATAAGCAAAATCGGCGATTAACAGTTGAATATGTTTCCTCGTAAGTTTCAAAAGTCTGTTGAAGTAAAAAGAGTAATGTTTCAGACGACTTTTCAAAGTTTTAGGTGTAAATACTCGAGATTGTTTTCAAGTAGGCTTATTCGAAATATACAGTTGTTAGAGACAATCTTTTCTGGAAAGAAATAATTTTGAACGAATTTGACTTCAATAGAGAACATAAGACAAATTACAATAGTTCTGAAGGACACATTCTGTAAAATTTCTGAGTGCAAACGATTACTCACAACATAATATATTCATTTATTTCTATCAAGACTGGCAATAAATTATGACAATGCGTTAAACTTCAGTTTTCAGAACATTTCAAATGGGATCCAAGTCAAGATAGAAAAGTTTGCGGCAACAAAATCGATCAAGAATCGAAATAGAACTTCTGTTATTCACAAACAAAACCGAGCTCTCGAAAATTTTTCATGAATGCTCAGAATTAAAACTATAAACTGGATTTATGCTTGATTGTCATGTATTTTCAACGGAATAGCATTCATAACATCATTATCTTGAGTTTTTTATTTTCGATAAACAAATCTCGTTGTCAGTCAAAATTGAATACTGACTGAGTCTTTATGCAAACTTAAAAGCTTATAAACAGTGTAGAATAATCGTTAAACAAACTATTAATATTTACCTTTGCAAGATATTATCATGTTGGCAAATGGAAGAGAATAAGACGATTTTTATTGACTATAGTGAAAATGCGTTCTCTACTTTATACGTCTACGTAATGTATTCCGCCTTTGTTCTTTTTCTCGAATCACAAGACTACCAGTACATCGAAGAAAAACGTTAATATGATCGTATAATCAATGCAGCCCATTCCATGTGTCGCAAACTACCACGCTATTTTCAGTATATTTTTATCACAAAAGATGTGACATATTCAGTAGAACATAAAAATATGTAATTCATTTTTACCATGATCTATGCGATATAACATCATGTAATGGAATTTCACAATGTCAGAGTGTCTAATATTCGTTTTTGATATGTTCGAAGAGAAGAAAACCAATAAAATATTTGTCATTATATTTTTTTCCTTGAATGATCCTCATCATATTCTTCAGCTCTTTGAACAATTTTGTAAAACCATTGGCCACACAAATGTGTCGTAGTCAACACGAATATCAACAAAGAAAAATAATCGATTATCACTAGATCTGTAGTACATAATCTATTAGTGTCAATTCAATAAAATGTTGAAAATTGCTGCTGAATGAAGTTGATCACTTTGAATAGTTCCGGTTTTTATATAAAGAAGAATATGATTGGTTCTTTCCATTAAATGTGTTCACTCAGAAATGATAGAATACAAAAAGAAACCTCTCAAAATATGCAAGGATGTGCATGTGGGTGTGGTTCGGATGAACAGCACAATGGCACACGCCTAAACCCACACCTTCTTTAGAAGAAGACTACATTCAATTCAAATCCGATATGTGTATTAGCTCTGTTGACTGCAATTTCAAGAAGATATCATGCATATTGATCACTAATGAAAGATAAAATCTCTCATTAGGATAGAACCTTTTCACTAGTTGAATCAACCTTTTGTTGCTCAGTATTGCACTTATAAATAATTCGCGATCGTCTCTGAAATTTTCCAAACAGAAATGTACCAAAAATACTGCTATTTATTACTGAAACAGTAAAGGCAATAAAATTGAAACGTCGAAAAGGAAAGATATGAAAAGTTATATAATTTATGGTCCACGCATTATTTCTGAGCAACTGCAATTCTAATAACACTGTTGAAATATTCCTCTAGTGCATGTTTGAATAAAATGTTCATTTTCAGGATATAGATCATACAACAAC